GGAGAATCGATCTGATCAAGATCGAAGAAAAGAATATTGTATTGAATGAACAAATGCCTATACTTTAAAAAGTAAAAGGTGGCCATCTCGTAATCATATTCCCCAGAAATCCAATTACTACAGATTTGATTATAATCAAGGAGAAAATGTTTCTTGAGAAGATCCGCAAATATTTCTTTGTGATCTCGACAAAGATGTTGATTAAAATGTTCCTTCCCATTAAGAATACTTGGATAGCTCCAATCGCAAAACTCGCAATGAATTCCGAAAGGTGATAAAATACAATGTTCAAATAGTGACATCTTAAGTTACATAAAGAAAAATCTATTCGGTCTTACAACTGAATAGATTAATTAGATATTTTCTATCCTCATCTTCTTTGCAATACATTTAATTGTACCTATATTAAACATGACATCTTCAACAACAATTTGTGGCATTTTATTAACTACCGTTTGTTTATCTTGTGAAATCCGTTTTAATATCGTTGATGACGTCAAAATTGGAATTTTGCTACGAGGTACAGTTGATAAAATTTGTGGAACCAATCTGGTTGCCGTGGCGGAATTAATTCTAAGCGTCGTAGAATCTGTGATTGCCGCAGTAGAATTAATTCTGGGCGTCGTGGAATTAATTCTGAGCGTCGTGGAATCTGTAGTTGCCGCAGTAGAATTAACTGCGAGCGTCGTAGAATTAACTCTGGGCGTCGTGGAATTAATTCTGGGCGTCGTAGAATCTGTGGTTGCCGCAGTAGAATGAGATGCAGAGTCATATGTTTCCCAAATATCATGATGTTTAAATCTAATATGCTTCTTAATGGTATCGGTTAAATATGGTTTAACATATTTTTTCCCACATATTCTACATTGGATATGTGAATCATTAATAGATTCAAAATGATCTAATGCAAAATCCTGTCTTGATTTTTTATACCGCATCGAACTAAAAAAAAAACAAATTACACAGTTAAAAATCCATCCGGTCAATATAGACTGAATGGTTAATATAATAATAATAATAATAAAAAATAAAATTACTCGCTATCTAAGTGATTCAATTATCAGATACGCTATCGCTATCTATCTTTTTTTTCTTTTCAATATTTTCGATATTTTCATCCGCGACAATTTCTTTTTTTCTCTTAGCAATTATGGTCCTGGCACGGGAACGAAACTTAATGGTGATGGCCTCAGCGATCTCCTTACGCCTCTCAAAGAGAGATGGTGTAAGATTAGTTAGCTTAGCAAACTCGGCAACATCAAAAGGTTGCCAGTCACTGTTATTCATAGGCTCGACACGCTTAGGAATCTGATCACCGATAAAGGAAAAATAAATAGCGCAGTTGTAAAGGCACTCCTTCCCGTCAGGGAAGGCACGAAAGCCCGAAACCGTAGTAATATAAAAAAGTTCATCGATAACGATCCCAGCCTCTTCTGCGGCTTCACGTTTCGCGCAATCAACAAATGATTCACTTAATTCCACACGCCCTCCAGTTACTTGCCACAAAAGATGATGATCTTTAAGAGGATTAATACGTTGAGACAGCCAAATATTCTTTGAATCAGAAACCAATATGGTAAGACTGAAATTACGCTCGCTGGCTTTATACACATCAAGCTTTTGACGATTTTTATCCTTCAAATTCTTAGTTACATTTAATACAGAAATAACCTCTAGAATAGGTTGATCCACGGTAATTCCATCACTTTTCATAGAATTGAGACTGTTGAGATACGTGGTGTACTTCTCGATCAAATTTGTATTATCTTCGTAATCTTTTTGTACTTGAAGATAATGATTCATGATGATAAAGAATGAATCAAATAATTTCTAACCGGTTTATCAAACTGATTAGAAATTTATAATTACTTAATGATAGTTAATCAGAATCATCCATCACGATTTCGTTATCGCTATACGTTAAAATTCGATCAGTAAATATTACACCATTAGAGCTGAAAGATCCGTCCTGATGATGAATATATGAATTCGAATCAAAATCTTGAACATCGAATAGT